AAAGGGTAAAAGGTTCATAGGTTGGGTGCCAGATTTAGCAAATAAACATAAAGATAGTGAGCTTTTAGTTTGTCTCATGGGACATACTGACACTTAAAAATTTTATGTTGTAAATATAAAAAGTAAATTTAAAAAAAAAAAAGAGCTACTGCTAGCTTTTCTTTGCCATCCCAAGCTTGCTGTCATGAGCATCTGTCAATGTGTCTAGGACTCTGCGGAGCATGGGATGGGGCATGAGGCAGTAGAAGGCTCGCACTCCTGCTGCTGTGCACTCAGCACAGTTTTTGGTCCACTAATACCACCTTGGTACCACTTTTCTTTCTTAGTCCATTTCCTTGCTGGATCTCTTTATTTCTGCAACTTGCTGACTCCTATTCCAGCTTCAAACCTCTATCACCACTACCTTTCTCAGTTTTCACCCTCCCTTCATTCAACAATTTTTGAACATTGACTGCATGTCAGGAATATATTCTGCCCCCTTGTCCTATAAGAGGCTTGTTATTTTTCCCCCTGAATTTAGAGAAATGCTTTCCACTTAAGAACCCAGGTAGTAGTATAATTTGAGTAGTTGAGTGGGTAAGGAAATTTTACCACTTTTCTGGGGACAGACTACTTGAATGTCCAATTGGTGCAATTCAATGGGGGAAAGGATGCTGAAGTGACAAAAGGCAATGTCTCTGAATACAAATTCAGTTTGCTCTGTAGTTGCTTGGAGGAAGCCTGGTGTATCTAGAAATAAGCACAGCAGCAGAAGGTCCAAAAGGCTCACCATTGACTTAGATTCTACAAGCTTCCACCTGTCATTATGGAGAAAATTAACCTGAATAAAATTTGTGCTAACACCAGAATGCTATTCTGTACAGTTATTCTTTAGATGTGTCCATCTTGCATTTTTTTGTAGTGTACAATATTGTACATTTTGCTTTAATTTTGGCCCCGAGTTAAAGAGGAAATGTCCATCAGGTGAGTGACAAAGGAATGCTCAAAATCAAATTTTAATGGCTCAAGGGCCAAATCACACAAGAACGTTGGCATATTGCACCTTGGTTTTAATTCATTTTTAGGATGTTCTAACAAAAGTTACAAAACAAAACATGCTTATTCAATCTGATTATCTGTCTGAAAGTGAATGTAGCACCCTTCTCGTGAAAGCCTTTGTATTTCAGATCAACTAGGAAGGAAAACAGACATAAGCCTTTGGTATAATTTGTCCAAGATGCAGATTTTTAGAATTTATGCTTAGGATAAGGATTGCTAAGAATGGAGTGACATCTAATGTATTCAATGCACATAATCTAATAGTGCAGGCAAAGATGACACAGTATTTCACAGTATTTTGATAGCTCAAAACTGAAAACTGGTGCCATTTCTTTTTTTGCTGATAAAAAGATGACTTAAAAAGAGAGATGTGGACCTCTGATGGAAAAGTGGAAAATGAAAGTAAATGCCATTGTTCATAGTAACACTGAATCTAAGGAAATTTGGATTACTTAATATAAAATGTTAATTAAAGCTATATTCTCCAAAATGACTGGTTAATGAAATAGGATAATTAAGTTTACTTTTACACATAGGCAACATGTATTAAAATTAGGCCCTTTATTTAAATTTTTACATAATATTTTCATTAAAAACATGTTCTAGGGCCCTCCCTGGTGGTGTAGCAGGTTAAAGCACAGCACTAAGAAACTTAAGCCACTTCCACATGAGTTCGATCCCTGCCTGCCCTGGAGGAGATCCACATGGCGTGGCAGACCTCTCCTGGCCCGCTCGCTGCTCCCCTCAGCAGTATACTTCATTGATCTGCCTGTTCTGCTCCCCACTCTGTCTCTGGTGAATCCTCTCACCCTCTGCATCTCTGGCCTGTACCCCAGTTCTGTATGAATAAATAAATAAATCTTAAAAAAAAATGTTCTAGAGCCTCAAAATGGACAAAACAGCAGAACTATCATGGTAAAAATGTTTTTCCTGCCTCAACCACATGACTCTCGCGTGATACAATTTATGTAGAAAGAATCATGGTTTTGTCTGTACATACACATTTTCTCTGATTTTTCTACAGCTACTAAGAGGGGTGACTGAAGTTATTTAATAATTGGCGGAACAAAGGTGTTAAACCAAAGGAACCGTTGGTATATCTTCTGGTCCTTGGCTCAGGTGTGGGCGTGCTGCTGGAAGAACACAGGCCTGGATGCATGAAAATAGGAATCCCAGAGTAAAATGTTACCAAATGCCTAAGTGGGGATGTATTTGCAGTTCAAATTTTTAACCTAAATATAACATATCTTTTTAAAAAATGATAACAAAGTTCAAATTGCTTTTCCTATCATAAGTAGCTTTCTTTGATAGGTGTTAAAGGGTTTTTGCTGCATGTAAGGCATTGGTGTAGGCAAGTAGACATGAATAAAGACATTTTGAAATGTATTTTGGCTTAAAAACAAAACATCTGGATTTAATTTCTTATCTTCTGAAATATTGCCTTTTAAGATCAGTCTGATGAGAGATGAGTTAATATTGGAATAGTGACAATTTTGGATTAAAATATACCTCTAAAGTATCACATCTATTTTCAGAATCAATTTTAAGTGGCCACATAAGAAATCAAAGACAATCTTCAGTGGCTCCTTTTCAATTTCCCCTTGTTCCAGAACTACGCATGGACACAACATCAATTTATGAAACATTTTTTCTGTGGTCTGAAAGGTAAAAATGAAGTAAACTTCATAGAGAAGCCTTAAAACATCTTTCCAATCAATTTGGGTTTTCCCTTGGAAATAGCCAAGAGTTTCAAACCACAGTTCATCAAAGCTGGCTGGAGCTGGGGGGGTACTCCACCTCACAGCTTGAAGTGATAAAATGTCTGGCTCTGTGTCATAAATGCAGGAAGTTTCTTCCTGGCCGTTCTTGTCATGGCTACTTATTATGTGAAAAAGAAATTAAATTCTCTGGGAATAAACTGTCAATAATCTTTCCCAATCTCGCTGATTAATTCACCCTAAGTGAAATATTCTGTAGAAAGAAATGTATAGTTTGAGATACAATCTTTGAAAAAGAGTGTAATAACATGAAGTCATATGTAAGACAGCCAAAGGGTGGGAAATAGGCATCTTCCTAGGAACCAACCACTAGAGTAAAGATTGTTCTAGAAAAGGAGTGTTCTTAGAAGAGGGTAAAAAAAAAATTGTGAAATTCCTATATAATAGTGACTGGATTTAAGAGAAACAAAGCCAAAGGAACCTTCAGAGTGGCACAATTCAATATTTGGTACAAGGTCAACTGGTTAAAGATTTGGGGGAAATATATCACCTCACCAGACAGTACCTTAGTGCATAGCAAAACAACCCACACAATTTAGAACTTAATTTTTACAAAATAAAAACACAAAATTAATAAAAACCAGGGGATTGGCCTATTCTCTGGATTCTCTGGATAGGGAAGTGTTTTCTAAAATATAATGCAATTGTAGGAAAAAGACAAGTAATTTGGAAGTGGAAAAGACAAGAAATTTGATTAAGCCAATTTCAGAAATGACCATTTTAAAAATCCCTATAAACAAAACTGATAAATTTGAGAACAGTCTTTTGATATAATATCAAAAGGGCCTCTAAAGTCTTTATTATATAACAAAGTAAGATGCCTGATAAATTGCTTCAATCTTGAAAACCATTAGCTCTTAAACTCAAGCTGATAAGAACACAAAGGAAGGATTACACAGTAGCAATGTAATCAAAGCACGTTCCAGTCTGTTTATGAAATGTTATGGTGAAAAAAATACACAGGATAGGAGATAGCAACCGTAACTTCAAAAATTCCTGGCATACTGAAATACTACAAAAACTGTATTGGCTATCAGAATATTTGAGTTTTAGAGAGATTAAAGATGACTATCTCTTTCCTTCTGCTTCATTTTCAGAAAAAGACTAATTTCTAAGACATTAAGTACTTTACCTAACATCTCATGTCAGTCAGTTAATTCTGTTTCAGTAACTCATAATAGGACTATTGTTCAAAAAACAATTCAGAAACTTTTTTTAAAAAAAAATCTTAAAAATAATCTGATACATACCACTGTGTGGACTTGGTCAGAGGTACTCTGGATTTTCCCATTAACTTTGTTTTTACCTGACAAAAAACAAGGGAGAAGTGACATTCTCTTCATTCTTCTTTTTCCTAAATTGATTCCAGATCATTGTGAGGATAACTTTTCTAATTTGGGTACATTACTTTATTTACTATAATTTCAAGCACCAACTCCAATAATGAGTGAAGGAGTAACAGAAAACAAGCCCAGAACTCAATGTCTTCATGTCCAATTCTGAATGTGCCCAGATTTCCATCCTGAACATTTGTACACATCCAGTTTTTTTGGTTTAGATGACATTCAACAAGTCAGGGTTGGTTTAAACTGGCTTATAAGAGACAATGAATTTTTACTAACGCAAATATTTATCAGTTTTTTTAAAAAAACTACTCTAAATTAAAGACGTTAAAATATCAATATTCAGTTAATTCAGTTCACTCTACATTTTCTCAAATTCTAGAGATGGGAAGCATCTCATACTACACAACTAATAACAAAATTAAAACTTTGAGAATTAGGGAAAATAAATTGAAGAAAGCTTACTGAAATAGTTACAAACACTTACTTCCAACAATAGTCTTGTGGTTGAAAATCTTACTCCAAATTCCACCTTCTATGTTATCTTTCACTCCAAATTCATAAACTGTATTGGGCTTTAGATTTTCGACAATTGTTTCAGTGGCTGGGCAGAGTTGAAAAACCCATTTCTTTTCCTTATCCTTCTCTCGATAGCGAATTGTATAAACCCTATGGAATAAACCAAATTTAATGCTTTAAAAACACAAGGAGATTCAAAATGTTATTTTAAGCACATCATGAGTCCCATACTTTGAAGACTACATTTAGTTCTGGCTTCTGTTTATATTTTTTAAGAATTTGCAGAGAACATGAAATAAATGATCACTTCTACTTTTATTTATTAATTGCAAGTTAGGGGAAATTTGCAGGGCAGTCATGGTTTGACAGAATTTCAGCCCCTACCATTCTATTACTTGTTACTTGACAAAATGAAAATTGAAAAACAATGAATGCTATGCATCAAGTAGAGAATAGGCATCATTTTATGAATACTAGATTGGTTAGCCTCATAACTGCATTGTTTTAATCCATTTTCTCTGATGGAAAATGTGCAGTATCATTCAGTTTTATAAAAGAGGAAAATGAGATCCTAACATACATCCAAGACTTTCTTGTTAAGGGTGAAATTTTCTACCTTTATAAAAATAGTCATAACCAGTAATAAAGCTAACAGTACAATTAGAAAAGCCAAACGGATAAATGGCAAAGTAATGATAATCTCAACCATAATAATTTTGCACCTTTATCACGTTAGTTTTCACATATTACATCACTTAATTATCACAAAAACATTCCAAATGGTGGAAATTATTAAACTGATTCTACAAATTATGTAACTATGTATGGATTTTCAAAAGATCACAGCTTGCCCAGTGTCACCCAGCTAGTGACTTTTATCACTGGCAGCAGCTGAACCAGGAATGCAAAGGAAAATTCTCTGGTTCTGCTATCAACAACTCACTTAATAGAGCAGCAGATCAGAACAGGGAATTGTATTACTACTGCATGTGTAATGAGAAATGGATGAGCTAGTGGGACACGTATTCATGTAGCCAGATTGTACCAGCAAAATAGTGATAACACCTGCAGAATGATACTGTTTCATTTATCCTCTAGTAAGTGTTAAAACACAAGAGATTACTATATATTATCCTGGCATTGTTAAGGAATAACAAATATTAGGACAACAAACCATTTATGATAGTGCTTTGCCTCCCAAAGACCAGGTAAGGAACATAAAAGTACTTAGAGGTGGGGCCAACAGATAAACATTGTAAATATATAAAGGTTGTCATGCGTGATCATGGAAACATAGGTGTTTGTTATACTATTTTAGGTTATTTCTTATTAATTTTAATTTTTCTTTAAAAAAAAAGTACCTTTTCCCCATTCACATTTCAGCAAAATGAAATGGACTAAGACTCAAGTCAATTGCTTTTATTTAAAGTTTTAAGAAGTTACTCATTTACTCATGTGAAATATGTTCATTGAGCTCTGGCACCAAGTTCATTATGATGCAAAACAACCAGCCCAAATCTCTGGAAGTGAGGGACAGGACTGGCTACCTAATTTATGGGCTTAATGCGAAGGGAAACCATGCCGCCCTGTGCTCAAAATCAAATTCAGAACTTCAAGATGGGGACAGGGAAGCATTAAACCAAGCATGTAAATGGGGAAGTCTATGAAGCAAGGAGGTTAAAAAGGCACAGAAAGAGCAATGCAGTTGCCCATACTTCCTGCTAGTCACCAACCACTGAAACCATTCATTAGTTTGTCTTTTGTACAAGCTGCTCCGTAGGCTTCAGTCCCACATCCCATAGTAACAAAAATCAGAATGAGGGAAGGAGTTTGGCTGACCCAGTTACAACACTACCTGCTCCTGGGAACAAATTTTATACAATTTTAACCCTTTGTGTCCTGACAAAACATCAGCATTGATTCATGAAACATTTCTTAGTAAGTATGCTACATGGAGTTTTTGTTGTTATCTCTGCCCAGGCTATTATAGAATTTTAGTGAAATGCTGAGATGCTAAAATCAGACCAGATGGGCCACCACAATTATGTATCTCTAGTTTGGAAACATTTCTGAGGTTCTGGATTACTTGTATGATCTGGGAGGCCCACTGCACTAACACAGCAAGCAAGGGCCAGATTCCAAACTTTCCATTGAGTTTGATTTCATGCCACCTTCCTAGGACTAATAGGGCAAAAATGTTCTCTTCTAAAAGTGATCCATACGTTAAAAAAATATCCAGGGCCCTCCCTGGTGGTGCAGTGGGTTAAGCACAGCACCAAGAAGCTAAAGCCACTTCAGCAGGAGTTCAAACCCTGCCCCGGGGTGCTCCACATAGCATGGCAGACCTCTCCTGTCTCGCCCGCTGCTCCCCTCAGCAGTGTACTCTTGTCAGTCGGCCTGTTCTGCTCCCTACTCTGTGGTGAAGCCTCTCATCGTCCTTGCACTTCTGGCTTGTACCCCAGTTCTGCATGCATAAATAAAGCTTTAAAAAAAATCCAGCTTTACCCATGGGGATTACAACTGAGATAGAAAAAGGCACAAAATGATGTAAAAATAAATTATTTTATTATTTAAATATTAGTATTTTTAGATTACAAAGCATTTGAAAATCCCTCACTTATTCAGAGTTTGTCAGTAAAATTAAATATACAGACTTCTAGTCTTCTCTGTCAGATTTACCATCATTAACACTGGGTTAATTGGTAATTGTTAATGTAAGGAAGTTGCAAATTGTAAAAGTGAGAGCAGACAAAACTATATAGCTATAAAGGAGTGAATTAAAGTCTTGATTTTAAAGCAAAAAAAATATTATTGTATTACAATAAACTACTACAATTACTTTATTACAATAAACAGCTATAGCTAGCACACAATAAGAACTCCATAGATATGTATACAATGGGTACATAGGTGCTTGCTTATAAGGTCATTCCAAAGAAAGAATGTAATTGCTTTAAATGAGCAACAATTCAATCACCTTAAGCACAGGTCTACAATTTATATAACATTTTATAAAGTGTCACTGCATTAAGGCCTCACCCAAACATAAATTTCCAAGAGAATCAATGCAAAATAAAAGGAAAAAAACCCACAGTAAATGTTTACATTTAGCCTTGAAAAAAAAATGGAATAAGTCAGGTGAACTGACACTACATAAGGAGCAAAAGGAATCATAGTAGCTTCCAGCATTAGGAAGGACTTTGTATTTCCTGTTCTGTTGTGTGTTCACTATGATGTCACAGAGTCCCCATTACTGTCTGAGGACATCCAGGATGAAACACTGATCACATCATTTTCTGTGGATGATTAAACTCAGACAAAAGCACAGGAGAGGCAGCAAATCTACTAAAAATATTAACAATGGCTTGGTAGTTATCATCACACCAGGCCTCTGGATATCTGCTCTAGCCGTTGGATTTTAAGAAACAGTGCAACTCCCATCACAGTGTGGTGTATGAAATTGTATTGAAAGTGGTATTTGGGTTGACTGGCATAGTTCTGTGCTTGGACGATAATTGCTTTCATAGCTAAAAAAAAAAAAAAAAAATCCATAGCTCCTCAAATTGTAGTGCAGAAGGCAGGTGGTGGCTTGGCTTGGCTTGAGTGCCTGTCAGCTGTGAACTAGTAGTGTTGTTAAGGGGAAGGATGTCCTAAAAGAACTCTGCAGAGTCTTGTGGACTCCACACCCTACTCCAGCTTTCTGGATTTCACCCCTTACTCCAGTGAGCTCCAAAACCTGTTACAGGATAGCCTAGAGTGAACTTGGGCTGCCTGTCTGTGGGGCCTCACCTGAGGCTCAAAATGTAGTTTTCTGCAGACACACACAAAAAGGGTAATGGGTTTATTTACAGAAGGGGACAGGAAAAGGAACGAGAGAGGGATACAAAGTAACTGGAATACTTTACCAGCTCAGTTAACTTGGAGCTCTAGTAACACTGCTAGCTAGCCCCAGTCACACCGTCTGAGAGCAGTTGCTCTAGGGAGAGAGAGAATCGTTACCTCTCCAGGAATGTCAGTTGGAAAACTGCTCCCTATTTATCCCCCAAAGTCCCAGAATGCCTGCTTAGTTCTGCCCTTAGGTCCTTGCAATTCTCTCCTTGGTACTGCTGGGAGTTGTAGTTTCTAATTACTGGAGTAGGGGGTGGAATCCAGAAAGCTGGAGTAGGGGTGGAGTCCACCAGACTCTGCAGAGTTCTTTTAGGACATCCTTCCCTTTAGAATTTGAGTGCCTGTCTGCTGTGAACTAGTAGTGTGACCTCTGGGGAGTCCCTGCTGACTCAGTTTTCTCCATTGAGACAGGGGTGTGAGGTGAGAACATATGTGAGATCCTTTCTGTTTCTAAAAAGTAATTGTGGATACCTATCAGATATTCTCGAATAAAATACATGAGGCAGAGGGACATACCATGAACAGAATTCATGGCATAACTACAGGGATATACCTAAAGGAGAAATTAAACATCAAAGTAAATAAAGTAAATGCTTGATAAATGTGATTGGATTGGCCATCTTATTTGGGGTGGTATATTCTATTCTAGCAGTATTTTATTCCTATATAATTAACTACTATTGCATTTCCTAAAACCGGTGGCCCACACACTTTTTGTTATCCTCACACCAAGGGCACATCTGATACTCTTTTCATCAGCATTGCTGCTACTTTGTGCCTTTGTGGATCTAATTACTGGCTTTAATTCTTCTTCTTCCCTCCCAAGCCTCTCCCCGCTCCACCCCCCGCCTTTCCACGCCTGTTTCCAACGTTTTCCCTTCTCAAAAAAAAAAAAAATAATAATAATCTTGATAACTTTATTCCATTGACTTACTATCCAACCTTTTTCTTTATTCCTTAAGGAACTTTGAGTCTACAAGTTGTTAAAATATTTTCTGGGCTATCAAAACAAAAATACTTCTTGTCCACACGGTTATATTTTATTGCCGTAAAATTGGTTTACAACACTGTACATGTCCTGTTCACACTTCCTCAGATCTATGTTGCCAGCTAACCCCCATCACTCAGAGCACCCCATTGCTAATATTACCATACACCATTAGGCCCCTCCTCCTTTCACCCCCACCCTCAACTCACCTCTGGAAGCCTTTAGCTATGGTCACATGCTTGGGTTTATTTTGGTTTGGTTTCATATGTTCTTA